CTCCTATGTCCCTTAGCCTATATATAGGCCTACAAATTTGTATGTTGGTAGATGGAAGAATACTTGGTGAAATAAGAAACTCTCTCCTTTCATTTGTCATCTTGCCACTTTTCCTCTTATTTTATAATATACATTATTTATAAAAATTAAATAATTTTAATCTAAAATTCTTGCCACCTAATAAAAACGGTCGTTCGGCATGTCATTTCTTAATTACATTATAGATTTATTAATTAATAATAATCGTATTATAAAAGTTAAAAAAAGACTTGGGGAATATCATTGACATTGACCTAGAAGACCCCACCAATTTTGAACCTTTGTATCCAAATTTGGGTGATGCTAAGTTCCTAGATTTTGCACTGCACTTTCCACCTTTGTTCCAAGAAAGTACAAATGAAATTACAAGGAAAATTCTGCCTAAAGCTCCTCTTTCTTTCTCCTTTATACTTTTTCAAGTCAATTTTTTAGGGGAATCACAAACAAACTGGAAATCTCGTGGCAACTTTTAACCTAAACATCAATTATTCAATAAATAAATGTATAATTATCAAACCACCTTAATTAATATAAAACATAAGTTGTCATATTTAATTTGATTATAAGAAAATTATTTAAATTTAAAATCTCAAACTTTTAAAATATCAATTTAAACACGTTAACTATTAATATGAAAATAAGTTTTTAAATTTTATTTCAAGATTTATGCACTAATTATTTTTAAGCATGAATTGTACTAAATTTTAACATATATAATAAGATGCACGAATTAATTTCCCTTTCTTCGAAATAAAAATGAAATTTCTTTAGGTTAATATCAACTATCATCCCTCTACTATAAAAAATAATGTAATTTAAACTTTCCATTATCGATTTACCTTATGTAGTCCCTTTACCATTAATAAACTTCACGTCCTCCCTCTACAATTCAAGACCATATCAATGTCACCCCTCCGTCCAATTTAGGTTAATGACACCGTTTGTTCACCATTTAACTGCAAACGGTCATAACGTTTGGACCTTTTTAAATTATTTTTTGCCACCCATGCATTGTATAGAAGTATAATTTTACCTTTTACACTGATACAACTATATATAGACAAAGTCTTTAACATGATGATATGTTCAAAGATATCATTCCATGCTCCACAGCGTCAAGAACCCCTTTTGGTTTTCATGCATACTTAGCAAAGTTGTAAAAAACGTACGTTTTAGTGAGAAAGGGAGGGTGAGAAAAAGCAGCATCAACAGAAATACAAAAATAAAGAGCTAGACCTAACAGGAAGAATACTAGAAAAAATGCCTGGAGGATTTCTCTAGGACAAAGAATGTTGAATCCTATTCTGTTCAAGTTAGTGTTTTGCTTTCAGTTTTACTTGTTCTCCTGCTGCTGCGGCCGCTTGTTGGGCTTTGCAGGTGTTGTTGATTTGGGGTAAGTCGCTTGGAATGCTCTGATGACATCCCGTACATCTGGATCGTCTTTAGGAATTTTAGTTCGCATTGCCTCTGCTGACTTGTGATCTCCGCAAGCCAAAAGCGCCTGATACATTCTGCAGCAACACACCGGAATAAAAATAAAATCCATCAGAACCAGAGGATCTGCATGACATGCAGGATGAAGGGATCAATTGCCATACCATTGCTTACCTTAGGAAATTGAAAACATTATAAGGCCAGCAATCTCGTATTCTTTCCAAATCAAAAGAGAGTTTTGCACGTCTTTTGCTTTAACATAGGCATTCAGGATAAAATCAAGACATTTCCGTGAAGGGCTAATGCCTATGTCACTCTTTATGGCTTGTAGTAAATCCACACCAAACTGTACATCAGCAGGTTCTTCCCCGGCAATAATGGCAAATGCCTGAAACCGCAGAGTTTAAGGTCAATGCAGTCAGTTTGTTAACATGGGACAGGCTAGTAATTCAAACAAAAACGACAAGCACTGATAAATTCATAGATCTCTGTGGAAAAAACAAAAGTCTCACTGTCTGAAATGAGTTCCCAAATATCAAGCAAGAAGATTAGACAACATTAAGGAAGAGAAACAGTGCAAGAGCAAACCTCATCAAAAAGAACTTCTGCAGCCAACTCATCATCACAGAACTTGTCCTTGAGTTGCTTGAGCAAATGAACAGCGGTACTGGATCAAAGAATGAATTACCAATGAACAGATGGTTTAGACAACATTCACATACAAAAGGAGGGAAAGAGCTGGAAAAAAGATAACAACATTGTAATTGAATATTGGATTGGATAGAAAACTATGCAGTGTAAATAGAATCCCAGATAACTAAGAATTTCCTGTCAGCTAACCTCAGATGCTTTTTTCTAACACCAAATGAGATAACTCTGCGGCAACCCTCAATCCAATAGCCTTGATCATGCAATTCCTCTAATAGTTGAAGCATAAGACTCAAGTCTCCCTCGGAATGAAGACACTCCTATGAGAAAATGAGGAAAAATACCATGATATCACAACCATACAGGAAAACAAATACAAAGGTCCTGTTCAGAACTTACCATCAGAGATAGGACAGCTCTAGGCTCCAGATCACCTTCAGATTGCTTGATTTCCTCATATGTGTCTACAGCATCAGCCATTTGCCCATTTGATGCAAGAGCAGAGACGAGAGCACTTCTGAGTTCATTTAGGCTTTTAACTGGTATCCCTTCATCCAAGGGAACCTACCATATAAATTAGTATCTCTGAGATCGTCACAGATATAATATAATAAATAATGCATAAAAATGTAAGAAATGAAAAAGGACGAAGAGAGAATGCGGAGAATTTTTAAGTTGTCAGATCCCATAGATATATCACATATCCAACACTCATGGCTGAAACTGCATCATCAAGATGATTTCTCTATACCATATAATCAGTATATTTCCTCTTGCTTTTGCATCTCAAAAACAGGTGGGACTTCAAATGAAAATGGTGCTAGATGGATGTATTTCAGTCCTACCTGTTTTGCTTTCTCAAACTGTCCACAAGCTGCATATGCACTAATAAGTGACATAAATATGTGCTTCGTTACTGTAATCCCAGAACACTTCATTTCTTCATAATACTACAAGCAAATAATGAAATTATTGTATCAGTGGCCATGAAACCCATTTGCAGCATGACAAGAATAGAAGTAGCAATAATGCAAGAGACAGCAGAGATGAACTTATCTACATATAGAAACAGGGAAGACATAAATTTCAAGCAATTACTACATTGCATCAAACTACCTTGATAATATCCTCTTCACAGTCACAATAGGCTATTAGATAGCTGTAAGTTTGGGGATCTGGTTTTACACTGTCAAGTTCCATTTGCTTGAGAACCCTCAACCCAGCAGAAATTTTCTTCTGAAAATTATTATATAACAGTGGCATAAATCATGCATGAGGCATGTTCAAGATTAAAATGGCAATAAAGCTTTTCCAAAAGAAAAGTAGAAACAAAATAAATACAAAAGGATTAGACTGTAAAATTACCTCTCGAAAATATCCTGCCATTATAGCATTATACATGCCAGCTACAGGTTTAACGTTCATTTTCCTTGAATCATTCAGCATCGCATATGCACCATCAAACTGCATTTAATGGATGAGAAGAAATACAAGCTCTATTTAACTTAAAACTCAGAATAAAATTAGTTTGATAAAATACACCCCCCATCAAAATGAAATTAGGAATTATGAAAAGCAAAAAGAATTAACTATGCACAAGCACTGGGAACTACAAAACAGGAGAGCTGGATAGCAGCTTACATCTTTCATTTTCACACTCAAAATTATCATCCTTCTAAATGTCTCAGCATTTGGCTAAAGGTTATGGCAACAGATCACTGAATAAATTCGCCAAACCTTAAGATCAAACAAAATGACAAGAAAGCTAATAAGAAACTCAGATAGTGGTCAACAGTCAAGAACAATATAAAATTCTCAATGAGAGTAATGACAAAACAGTATAAGGGTAAAACAACTTTGTAGAACTAGAGAATTGATGTGCGATACCAAATTACACTCATAGTTCTCTTCAATAGCATGCAATATGCAACTTAGCATGTCTATGGACAAGCTCAAACCGTCTTCAGAAATCTGGTTAACAATATCAAGAGCCAGTTGCACCTACATTATGATAAATAAACATTAATCAATTTCAAAGTATTTGTTAAAAGATAAAAGAGCAGAAGTTTGATAAGAAAAGACCTTTAAAAGGAGCTAATGATACTATTTCAAATGTTTTTCATTCCCTTTACTCATAGTTTGAGTCTTACCTTACGTGAACTACAGCAAAACTTAATGAGCTCCTTGTATGATTCTAATGATGGTGTTATCTCAAATTTCATGTGCAAGCTTTCAAATTTCATAACAACATCTTCAACCCTCAATAAACATATGTAAGAAATACTTTTACAAGAGGCGGTTAACAAATTTAGCTTTTATGCAAAAATGCTCAAAAAGAGAAAAAAATGAGAGACAAAATCACCCTCTTGTAGACAAGCAGCGAACTTGTTGCAATCTAAAGCAATTATCATTTTAAGCCAGATCCAAATCTCTTACAA